TATCCGTTCAAACTACAGAGGTTTACAAAACCCCATAGTTGTGTATTTGGCCTCCTCATTGYATTCATAAGATATCAGTTTTATTTAGTGGTTGGGTCATTTTGGGGGRAGGGTTTGTTGTGGGTTATTTTGGGGGGAGAGGTGTATTTTTTTCCAAGTTCTAGCATTATTTCCAAAGTGACATGGTCATACAAAATGCCTGCAACAAATGCCTGCCATCTCATTCTCTATCGTTTGTGCACTCTTTTCCCTGTTTCATTTGAGTAGATGTGGTACTCTATTTCAATTTTAACCTCAAGTTGAAAGAGTCACAACTCAGAATTTGGTCACTGTCTGTTATACAAAGCTTGGCGTGAAGAAAAAAAAAAAGAGTTATACCAGTGTACACTTTTTTTTTTTTGTATTCCTGATGCCTTAAATAATAACCAATTAATCTTAAACCCCTTAATAATTGTGTTACTCATTAGCAGTAAGCCACGCTTATTTTACTGATTTTTGATGTTGTTTCTTCCTGGGAACTTCAATTTTTCACTTTCATTCCTTTTACTGTCACAATTATTTGAAGTACCTTTAAAACTGGAATAAACACAGGCAAAAAAACCTTAAGTCTTGGAGAAAGCAGATGCTTGCTTTTGTGAGAGAGCTACACTCAGTTTAGGGTATGTGGCAAACACACCTCACCATCCTCACAGAATATCCCATAAAATCCAATACAGATTAAAGCAACGAGGCTTCTACAGGAGTTAAATAGGACTCTGGAGAAATAACTTAAAACACTAATGGCCTTCTCACAGAGCTCTACAGGGCTGTACAAATACTTCTAAAGTACACTGCACTTGCAGTTATGTATTTTCCATTCAAAGCGGGAGGATATGACTAACTCAAAAGATTGAAACACCCAGCCATGTGACAACTTTCAAGAGGCAAAGCCAGATTTTATTCCCAGACATTTTCAAGCAGGAAGAAGCAGTGCTCAGTCAAGCACTAAGCRCTACGGAAGGCTCACATCTGCCTGTGCACCCACGGACGGATGCACACATGAAGAGAAATGCATTCAGATCAAAGTTTGTCCATAACAACACCACGATTAGACCCAGTAACTTCCATACCATGGCTCTGAAGCACCTTCATTCTTTTCAGATCCCACAAATCTCTTCAAGGAAACAAACTTGTACTCACCTACACTGATAAATCACTCTAAGGGAAATTGGAATGTGCACTTSGAAACCTGATAATGGTTTCAGTACATCCAAGCAGGTTTCGTGATACTTGATACAGTTCCTCACCAGCTGACTTTCATCGACTGGCAATTGTAAAAATGGACATTGGATRATGATCCATTGGTGATGTCACTGTGCAATTACAGAACCTGCCCAGGTAAAGACACTAAAATAGGCTGCATCAAATGAAGCACTGCCAACAGGTCAAGGGAGCTGATTCTCCCTCTCTGCTCCACTCTTATGAAAGCCCATCTGGAGTAGTGTCCATCTCTGGGGCCTTCAACGTAAGAAAATACATGGCCCTGTTGGAGCAAGTCCAGAGGAGGATCACAAATATGATCAAAGGGATGGAAGCAGCTCTTYTRYRCAGGCAGGCTGAGAGAGTTGGGRYTGKTCAGCAAAGGCTCCAGGGAAACTTTATTTCAGCCTTTCAATACAGAAAGGGGGTCTGTAAAAAAGGTGTGGAGAAATACACTTTTTATCAAGGCCTGTAGTGACAGGACAAAGGGTAATGACTTTAAGCTAAAAGAAAGTATATTTATATTGGATATAAGAAAGAAATTTTTAATTGTAASAGTAGCAAAATACTGGAACAGATTGTCCAGAGAAGCTATGGATGGCTCATCCCGAGAAGTGTTCAAGRCCAGGTTGGATGGGGCTTTGAGCAGCCTGGTCTAGTGGAAGGTGTCCCTGCCTATAGSAGAGRGACTGGAGCTAAAYGATCCAGTAATTTTCTTTCACACCCAAACCATTTTGAGAGTCCGTGATTCTACTGAGTTGTCCTCTAACCGCAGAGGCTCAAGTTATGCAATTTATATTTTACCAATGGAAATCTTTTTTAAAACTCACTGAAAAATTAAATCTTTTGTCTGAAATACATAGGTAGATCAATATGGGAGGTCCCTCCAAGCTACACCATCAAGTGCTGTAAGTAAGATTGTTATATGCTTCAACAGTCATGATGTTGTGCACATATTTTATCACATTTAATCATTTGGTTTCTAATTCCCATGTGGCAGAAGGCATAAACTTMTTTCAGTGAATGGGACTCTGCAGACATTTTGCCTGACTACTAGAAATAAATATACTATCAACAGATTTTAGAATGATGCATTATTTCATATTTTTTCAGGCAATAAATCCTAAAGATATGAATGAAATGGATAGAAAAATGAATTGCATCCATTATCAGAAGTTACTCTGTGACAGTCATTGCAGCCAGTTACTGGTACCTCTGTCATAACATTTTACTTTGCTCAAAATGCATTGAATGAAGCAGTCGAGTGAAACAGGACAGAATTAAAAGAAAGGACTCAGAGGTTCCAGATGGCAACACTACAGCTTTATAAAATGGAAAATTGAGATGCAGTATCTTAATAAGTTTTTAAATTAATTAATTACGAATTTTGTATGCAAGAATGAAGAAACTCAACACAAAATATGTACAACATAAAAAAGTGCATCTCATTTATGCATTGTAGGCTGGTTCTTTTCAGAAAATTGTCAAAGGCTTTTTATTTCGCTTTGTTTTTAAAKGGAAGTTCTACATAAGGTCCTTTTRACAGTAAWAARGAAAAATCAAAATGTGCCAACAGGATTTTAGAGTAATCATAAATTGCTGTCATAAATATATGATGAGTTACCGGATAGCCATTTCGCCCTGGTAGACCCTGGTTGAATGAGATGAAATGGTACGACAAATTAACAACACAATCGTGACATATGACACAACAAACATGCAGAGCACATTACTAGGAAATTATAATTTGCTTTTTTTTTTTTTTTAATGTGATGGTATTTCAAACCAATAAATATGAGATAGGTACTACACAGTAAAGAAATGAGGCTTTGGCAATGGAAATTATGTGTTTTAACTTAAATAAAYCCTTTAATTAAAAGGCTACTGGCTACTTCTGATGCCCACTGAAATTGTGGTTTTTATGAAGAGAATTATCCAAGTAAACTGATGGGCAATATGTAGTTAACTAAAAAAAATAAAGGTTTACTGCTTAGGCAGTAAAGTATTAGATTCCACTAGAACATAGGTGCCAAAGGAGAAATCTGAGATTCCTGTAAAAGATCATAAAGTCGAAATCCCCAGCTTTTGACTGCTATTACATGTGCCACTCAGTAGTCATGTACAAAGAAAATAAACAGAGCACTGCAGCAGCCTTTGAAATTACAGCAGGCACCTAATTCCATGTAGTTTCATGTGGGATATACAAATATTTGATATTTGAAATGAAAACTAAAACAATACCTACGTTAACAACAGTTGCTCCTAGCCAGTGTCTATGTAAATATAGAAGCGAATTTGGAARAGAAATTACACTTTTTAATGCATTCTAACAGCCTAAACCATTTCTGCCTGTCAGCAAGATAAAGTCTTGTAGGTTTCAAGTATGAAACTTGGAATTTAAAGTTGGAGATTTCTTAAAATGTTTCAGTTTCRGAACCTATTTCAGGTTTGTGCTAATATTGCCAAGATTAAGAGTTATGGCGGGGGGGCATTGTTTGTTTGTTTGATTGTTCAGGTTTTTTTTAATGTACCTATACTGAAACAGTGGGGAGCTGAAGTCAAAGACATTCTTAATGAGGCATAGAGGCATCTTAATCTTGCCACATTGYCTCGCTACAGGAAAATAACTTGTGTCATGATTTATGTTTGCTCTTTGTGTTTCATAGGAGGACTGCAAAAGAAATTGGGGAAAGCAGTGTTTCTTTCAAATAAACCTTTATGCATTAACCCTGGCTTTTCATTGTTAGCTTGTTAAATGAATTTGCCACTATGAATTGCTGAGGACATGGYCAAAATCTTACAAGTATAAATAATCTCATGACTCAGAATATGCAGTCTACACTAAAATCTTTAGATCACAGCAGGAATTCAACATATTTATGAAATATTCTTAAACATGCATGTAGCATAGAATAGACAGATGATAGGGTCTTGAAAATATTGTAGAAATACTTTTAATGAAATCTTTTAAATCTTTTAAAGAAAAAAAAAAGTGGAAGTCTGCAAACTGTAAAAGAAGTACAATTTTAACTATCACACTCTTACACCATATGATGCACATGGATGGCATGACAAACACAAATGTTTGAGATGTAAGTGCTTAGTTCTTCAAGTGTGACTTYTGACCCACTCTGGGAATAAACAAAAACAGCAAACAAAAGACATACAAAAAAACCCAAGCAAAAAACAAAACCACCTCAAAACCCCAGAAGAGAGAAAATGTTTTCTTACAAGAAGAACTTAGCACAACAYTCAATTGACTTACCAAATTCAAAAGTGCTATTTAATAATAATTTTACACAAGCACTTACTGGCTTCAGCAGCAACTACAGTGAAATGAGCTGGAAAGCCTGTATGCCTCCAAAGAACAGGGAGCTTGTACCACAAGACTTTGTGATAAATGCAGAGGAAGTTACTGCCCAGCAAAAGTGGCCAACTCTGGGCTTTAGACAGAATACTCACACGTTTTTACACTGCAGTAAAATATCTRTTATGGAGTCACAGGCAAAATGAACATAACATACTTACATGGAATTAYGAATCCCAATGGCAGTCTGGATCACTGAACATAAAGCTCTATAGGTTTAGAGACTTTTTTCTTAAGGAACTTTCTGATTAAGTTATTCAGCTCCAAGATACTGTATAAATATCAAAATTCCCTCTTGAGTACTCCTGATCATTTTATCACGCTGACAAATTAACAGGATCTAACAGATTTCTCCCTGATTCTGGAAGAACCAACAATGTATCACTGTACTTACAGGAGGTCCTGTGGGGTAGGGGAGAGGGGGTAAAGGGTAAAAAAAAAGAGAAAAAAGAACACGTAAGCTTACRAAGCTTTTGAAGAAAGACACATATGTACAGTCAAGCACAAGGCCTTGGGATTTTCAGCGAGCAGCACTGTTAATACAGGGCACACATTTTCCCACTCAAGTAATTTTGAGCTGTGGTGYTGCTCTGAAACTTGTAAACATGACTACTGCCTAAATGCATGCACTTACCTTAACAAATCTTCAACTACAGTCACACCATCTTACAAAAATTGCTTCTCCATTCATTTCCATGCAATTTCATGCCAGTCCAAAAGCACCARCCATAGACTACATTTTGTCAGACTCCCCATAAGGCACACGTAACCACATCACCAGTTTCAGTTAACCACAGAGTGAGCATTTGATCAGAGCTTGGCTGCAAAATTGCACAAAGTACCCTTGGCATTTAACCTGGGCACCTTGTCAAGAATACGTGTACCAGCATCTTCCAGACATCCAGCTCTGCCTGTCAGGGGAGCTTTCAGTGRCCACCTGACAGTGCTGAACTTTCTTTTCATCGCCTTCCTCTCTCAATGCACACATATAAAATACTCCCCATTAAAATGTCACACTTCGTGAAGTGATATTTGCACATTTTTTCAATTATTTAGACCTCAAAGACTTTTGTTTAGCAGTTCTCGGAAACATTATCAAAGAGCCACAAATCAAATCTACTATTTCAGTCTTATTAAGTTGAGCAGCTGCAGCTCCCAAATCAATGGCATTTCATTAAGCTTTTATGCCTCTAATTTCTGAATAAAGTGAAGTGCAAAAGGAGTATAAACMAACAGCAGCTGCACTTTGAGATTGCTTTTAATATTGACAGCCTTTTGGTCTTAACAATGCAATTTTTATTGTCCATCAACTAAGGTAATTTCTTTATTCTGGCAAACATTCTTAAACAGCATTTTAAGGTGCRGGTCTGTTTTTAAATGAGATCAATYTCCTTTATTAATAGTTTAACATGTGTTTATTTGAGATGTAAAATGAAGCAACAAGAATCCCACAAAGTAATTTCCAGGATCATTTGTAACTCAATCTTTGACCACAGAATTTCCCTCTGTATCACAGCCTCTTTCTTCCTAAGTAAATACTAAGCCAACACTGAATGGAAACACCAAGGTGATTAATTTCAACCTTTGGCAGGATTTGGTTTTAGTTTTTTGATCCAGGCTGATGTGGAAATAGTTTTTAAGAGCCAGATAAATTATCATTTACATAGATAAGAAAGGCTACAGAAGATTTGGAGAGATCAAGTTGCTTGGAAGACTTTCKAGCTGGCAGATTACACAAGACAGCCAAGGAGAACAGAAATGCTCATTTTCTACTGCACTGCCTCCAGAAAGTTCACCTTGATGAAAAACTCAATCCCGCACAGTAATTGGTTCAATTCCTGTGAATGTCAACAGCAAGAGGTGCTCAGCATCTCACAACTTTGCCTCAAATGGAATTTCAAGCTCCACACCACCAGCGGGTTTCAATCAACAGCAACCTCCCTGGCACAGGGTAATGACCCAAAAAGTGTTTTTCTTATTTCTGTTAGAACTTAACTGCTCATTTCTATAAAACAACTTCTCTCATACAGAGCAGTCCACTTATCACATTAAGTCCCTGATTACCGACATTCTTGACATAAGGGATTTCATTTCCTTCTTTATTTCCTTATAAAACTGTTCTCAAACCAAAGGGGGGTGATGTAACACTGACATTATATTCCAGCTACTGACTTAGGTGGAGTTACTCTGACTTGGGCAAGTGAGAGAAGACCCCTAAAGGGTTTGACAGTYACAAAYSTGTTACCCAAGGTACTGCACAGAGCATTATGGAGTGTGCCTACAAATCAAGGATGCCCAAGACTAGAAAAATATCTGGAAGGCCACCAGATATATGCCAAGGGTCACAATATTCACCAGAGAAGTTTCAGAACGCTTTTTTAGAGGACACATGCAATGCAACTAAAAATCAAGGCATGCTGGGTATGCATCCTCACAAAAACAGACATCAAATGACAACAGATCTCATGAAATTGAAAACTTACCAGTCTCTCCTCTTCTTCCCCGCTTACCTCTTTTCCCTGGAGGACCTAAAAAGAAGATGGTGGATTGTAACTTTTTCTTTGAAATTATATGYAGAATATAATTTGTTTGGAATGTAAGGGCATTATACTGACTACATTAAGTTCAGACACTTTGGCTGAGCATGGGTAAAAGATAAAGTAATATTCAGGAAGCTGGAGATGARTTTGACAGCTATGGTAACCACTATGGGCTCCCTGAAAAAAGGCTGGGAGAAACTTTAAAGATCATCCAGTTCATCCCTCTTCAAGGAAAAGGTCTATCTAAATTATTATTGCAGCTTCCAAAGGTAGGATTTTTTCCCTCCAGTATTTCACTGTTCTGACAATTGGAGCATTTTTCTTTATGTCCAACTTGCCRCACTGAAGCCCCTCAATTCTCATGCTTTCCATCATGAACCCAAGAAAAAAATGTCCCTTTTCTTTTCTCAAAAAATTCCCTGTATTCCTCAGAATTGCTGCACCATTCCTTGAACCATCCTAAACCAAATATATTGTGGGACATTAAGTTTCATTTAATTACTCCCGTATTAAGCCCAAAGATCAGTATTTATTTCTAAGAGCAAATCTCCCRGAATTTGCTTTCAGCCTCTAACTGAAAATACACAAGAGATGAAGAAATCATCACCTGCCTTGCGATTGCTAAACACTTAACAATGTTTGTGCTGCCAGATACAGTGCAAGATGCTTTGCCTCCAGGTTATATTTGCTGGCCATAACACAATGATTTGATGACAATCACTGTTTGCTCTTTGCTGAGAAATCTTTACTTCTCATTGTCCCTTCTCCACAAATATTTACATAATACAACCAGCATCTGCTGTTGCCTCTGAAAAAAAATAAATAAAGGAAAATCCTTTTTGTCCCTCATTTCTGCCTTCAATACCCTTTTTCTAAAAACTGCAGCTCTCAGATGTCAGACTGCAGACACATTCCCGCTCTTCCTGGTGACCTTGACATAGTGTTCCTGAAAATACCAGGAAAGCACACTTGCACTTCTCCGTGTACAGCTTGGAGGAGAAGCAGCAGCTGTGGGGGTGACACAAGTCCTGAAACGTGGCTGCTCTGAAAAAAGAACCACAGGTGGGACTCTCAAAGCTGCTGAAGAGAGGCAAGCGCATGGGTGGAATTTCCAAAAGCAGCAAGGCGTGCAGGAGCACAAGTACCTCTGCTGCAGCTGCATCTCACCGTTTGTAATAGATACGAGATGCACAGGTGGTTTTGTGCAAATAGTATCATAGGCCATAGCTTTTAAATAGCTTTGCATTATATATTTGCAGCAATSTGGCTTAAAAGACTAAGATGATGAAAAGCAACATTAGTGAAACAATTTCAAGACATATATGCAACAGCATTCCTTTTCCAGGTAAATAAAATACTATTGATTTAAAAAAGAAAGGAAGAAGGAAGAAGGAAAAAACGGAAGGGAGAAGAGAGAAAAAAAGAGAAAGGAGGAGAGGAGGAGAAAGGAGAAGAAGAGAGAAGGGAGGAGGAAGGAAAAAGAAGAAAAGAAAAAAGAAAAAGCAAACAGGGAACAGAAAAGCAGCTCTTGTCTTGAATGTAAAGAGGCTTATTCCTATCAGGGCATTTTAAATCTGACTAAAACCCTTCATGCATGTTCTAACAGTTACAGTAGTGGCATARTGGAACACAATTTTAATAAAACAATATTATACAAAGCAAGAATGGCATGGGATATTCATAATCAATATTTTGGTATAATGAAAAACAGCAAGTGGCATGTGAGTATGGGAGAATCTTGCAACTTCCTCCTGAAACCCAACTTCTGAAAGAGGTATCAATGGAAACTTCTTACACAGGAAATAGCATGTTACAGACATCAATTTCTATGAGCATCTCTTCGTTTCCCCCCCCCACAACTAACACTGAAAATTCTTAGAGTGCCCCTGCAGGAACACAACCCTGCAGAGCCCCTCCATTGAGATTTCCTGGGCTGCACCCAAGCTCCCAACACAGCTGTAGAGCAATTTGGGCTCAGCATGAACACAGATGTGCAGAAGAAACTTACAAGGTTCTTCTCCAGGTAATGGCACATCATCGTGCATATAGCAATAATATTCTGCAAAACAATAGTTGGTGGCAATAGYTTATTTTATTAAATTTTAGTTGTGCTATRGGTGTGCACACACAGAAATAAGTAYGCTACCAGGTTTGCTCTTGAGAAAGGAACAGTATGTTGAAACTAAAAATTTTGTCTACAGACCAGAAAAAAAACATTGAAGCCACTAACAGAAAATCCTGAAGGTCACTTCAAGCTATGAATTTTAGGAAAGAATGAAATCTGTCCAGAAAGCCGGACTTCATAGAGCGCTAAGTTGCTAGTTTAGCTGTGTACAGTCACAGCAAAAAACAGGCTCCAGCTCCCCTCTCTCCTCTGAAATCAAGTGCTGACCCCTTCTAAGCTGTTACGGTAAGACTATTAGATTTACTTATGTGAATTGTCAGAAAAATTACTGTAATTATTATGTTTCCAAAGTAACCACACTGCTGAGGTTAGAAAAATTAACCTGGACCTAGACCAGTATTAATGAAACCATACTACTGTCCCTGACCATCAGACCAGCAGTATTTAAGGGTGATGTGCATCACTTCTCTCTCTCTTTAAAAGCCATTTTGGTTTGTGCACTGTTAAGTCTGTCAAGGTGGTGGCATTTGCAAAACTCTAAATGTGAGATGAGAGATGGACACTGCAAACTTCTATTAGACTTTGGTGACCATTTGAGGAAATACTTTCTATATATTTATCTATTTACTTACTTTTTTTGCCAATACAAATGAATTCATTTCAAACCATTTACCACAGATGGTTTCAATTCACAGAAAATTAAAGCTGAAATTTATGGTCTTAACTAGATGACCTAGTGCTTCAGAAAGTACACAAGCTTTCATGTTTTCCTGAACAGGCTGCTTTCTCTAAATCTTAACTGCTAACATATCTGTAGCTCCAAAAGTTTCAAGCTATCAAAACCTTGGGCATCTTTCTATAAATATTAATTTTCCATCTGTCTATAATTTTATAACTTGGCACTAATTGGAGGATTTGGTGGAGACTCATCACAGCAGAAGGAGTAGTGAATAARGTTATATTATGGACAATGTCAGCTTACATCAAGTCCACAGATTTTTACAGCTTGCACAAAACACTCAACACAACTGCTCTGAACTTTCCTGCTGGGGATAAAGAAAAAAAAAAAAGCCCCTTCAAGAGTATCAGAATTTCTGAACTGAATTTATTCCAGGGTATTTTAAAGGTATTTAATTTAAAAATATATTTTCATAATAAAAATATAAATATTAGAAAGAAAAATAGGAGTCTGAGACTTGGTGGAATGAGCTGAGTTAATAAGCACTAACAATACTGAGCAATAAGCGAAAGCTTGTTTACAGTAGCCAAATTTGGCAAAATTTTGTTTTTTTAAGATTACTACACTTACCTACAGGCAGGGAGTAAAATGCCAGATCACCTGGTTTTCATTTTCAACTTAATTTAGTTTCAAAATACTTGAAATTCTTTCATTTTTCTAAAACCATCTATTCTTATCAACAGAAAATTTAGAAAGATTTTTAACACCACCACTATTCCCTAATTATGAAGGACATTTTGGAATTCAAAGAAACTAAAACTTAATTGAAACCAGAAGTCAAATATTTTTTTGAACTTCCCAAGTACAAAATGTCAGTCACTCAAAAACTTGTGCCTTTCTTACCTACCATAAAAGTCTGTCAAACAAAAAAACACCACAAATAAACAAAAAACCCCTCCCACTCCATGCAAAGTAACTCATCAGTATATTTACACCAAACAATATCTACATTTCAGCAACAGAAGACTGAAAAAAAAAAAAGAAAAAAACCCACCACATTTGGTGGGTGAGACCAAGGATCCCCCTATCAGCACCTGCCAGGAACATCAAATGCTTTGCCATTTGGTCACCAGCTGACCTAGAAAGTCAAGTTTGTCCTAAATTTGGAAAGAATTACACTGGCATTATCAAGTCAAAATAAAGGGATTTACCCATCTTTGGTTATAACAAACTCCAAAAGCTTTTCATTGTCATTGCAAGTCCATTGCCCCTACACCAAAGCAGGCACCAATCTAAGAGCACACGAGAGTTGAGAATCCTGTTCCTTCTTTTACTGACATGTCAGTCTGCTTTGTACCTCAGTCTGTCTGTGACAGTCTGCCTGAACTTCCTACCTCATAAAATTATCTATCTCATTTCGAGCCTTGGCTGGATAAATAACATTCATTGTTTTACACACAGTACATCATCTGTTTGGCTCCCCATGAAAYATTGCATTGCAGGGCTTGGATTCATGTCAGAAGCTATTATGCAACTTGGCTGAGGAAATGTCAAAAATGAGCTTGGGCTGATCTCCACAGCAAAGAAACCTGACTGCCCCAAGTCAGATTCTTTGTACTGTTTCTCGACATGCTGAATACCA